TGAAGCTTTTTTTTTTTTTTTTTGTGGAACCAGGGATTAAATTCAGACCCTTGTGCTTGCCAGGGAAGTGCTTTTTTCACTGAGCCATCTCCCTGGCCCCTTAGAGAAGCTTTATTTGGAGAAGTAACTTTGTAGTATAAATTCAGGTCAGTAAATATCATGTGTCCTGCCTTTCTTTTTTATATGATGATCTTTAATTCCATCTATTTTTCTGTAGCTAATATCCTTTGATTCTTCATTAGAACTAAATAATATTCTATTTTGTTTTTATTCTGTTAAAGAATATCTTTTTTTTTTTGTGTGTTTTAAGGAAGGATCTAGAGGGTGTTCAGGGACTCACTACTAGATTGGACTTGTAGTGATCCACCTGTTTACATCCTCCCAAGAGCAGGGATTACAGGTGTGCACCACCATGCCCAGTCTCAATGGCCATCTCAGCACATCCTGGAGGCGGAGCCAGAATGGCAGACCTAGGGATCAAACCCCCAGCTTTAATCCACTGAACTACTTGGCCAGCCATAAGAATATTCTATTCTTTAAGAATTCAGCAATTGATGGGTACCTAATTTCTTTCTACAGTGTAGATGTTGTGAATTGTGATAATAAATATTTCTATGCCAGTATCTTTACAGTATGCTGGAGTTTTTCAGAAAAGGACAAAAAAACTGGTACAGTTGGATCAAATGTTATGTTTACTTTTAGCTTATTAAGAAACCTCTATATTTATTCCTATACGGATTCTCCTCACCTCAATTGTCACCAACTACACAATCTTTTTTACCTACTGTATAACAGAACGTCATATTTATGGATATTAGATCTCATGTATAAACTTATGAATTTCTACAAACTTGATCCTACTTGTGAACAAATATTTCAAACCAAAGAATAAATTACCTGAAATTGAGAAAATATTCCACAGATAACAGCAACTGTGATTTATCCCTTATTCAAAAGGTACCAAGCCCACTTTAAGACCACATATATTTCTTGGGACCAGAGGAGAATAGACATCTGAGTCTTGGGAAACAGCAGTTGTTAATGGTGAAAGGGAACCTCCTCTCAGATCATCAACAACCAGCACAGCATTTGACAGTGGACCACCCACAGAGTATTTTGGGAATATCTAGAAGAGAGACGCTGCATTACACACACATAAAGAAATAATGGAGATGAACATTAATTTCCTTCATTTTACCACTATAATCTATTTACATGTGTTGAAGTATTTCACTAAAGCTATTTAATATATAAAGCCATTACATATTAACAAACTTCTGAAATCAAATTTCAAAATATATTCAGCATTTGTCTATAATGTTGAGCCATTTTATAGCCATCATGTCTTTGAATTTTCCTAGGTACTCTTGTCACAAAACAAGAGCTTATGGTAACCAGGTAACTCATTTGAGGTCACGGATGGGACTACAAAGGCTCAAATGGAAGGCTGTGTTAGGTCAGGCTCTTGGAGCTGATGGTAAGGTGCCTCTAGACAAGATTTATGATAGTAATAATTAACGTTCAAATGAAGTAGAAACAGTACAAGGATTCATGTTGTTAGGCAGTTTTTGAAAATGTCAAGATAAAAAATGATAATTCAATAATAAACATAAAACCTTCTAATCAATATTCAATGAGTAAGCACTTTGTACATGGATGACAGTCTACCACATGTCAATGACTATACTTAAAATATGAAAAATAATTTAAATTAAACCCATATATAATGTAACTATTTTCCCTATAATATGAAAAGTCTTTTCTAATTTAGAGGCCAATTTACTAAATGAATTCAAAGGTGTATTTTCATGTAGACTTTCCCTAGAAATTTGTGATTGATAACACATTTTGCTAATGACAAATGTAATGTAGGCACTATGAACACCAAGCTGAATGTGAATGAAAGGAAGGACAAAGTATTATTTCCACAATGTGATAAAAATATTGTAATATTTACTCTGAAGCATATGACTCTGTCATTAAGAGAAATTCAATAGTCTTGGGAGAATAAATGCTTATATAATTTCTCTGTCAAAGAAATTTTTCAGAGCCCTCTTTATGTCTTTATTTCTCAGACTATAAATAAAAGGGTTCAGCATAGGGGTGATCACAGTATAAAGCACTGAGGCCATTGCACTTGAGTGTGAGTTCTCAGTGACAGCAGAACTGAAGTACACACCTAGTAATGAGCAATAAAATAAGGTGACAACTGATAGGTGAGATGCACAGGTGGAAAATGCTTTATATCTCCCGTGAACTGAAGAGATTGCACATATATTGGAAGCAATTTTAGAATAAGAGTATAGGATACCAGCAAGGGTTCCACCACCTAGCAACCCACCTACCAAATCAAGTTCCATATAGTTAAGGTATGTATCAGAACAGGCAAGATAAACCAACTGATTAGGTTCACAGAAAAAGTGTGGGATTTCCAAGTCTGTGCAGAAGGACAGCTTCAGAACCATTAAGCTTTGTAACAAAGAATTAAGGGCATTCATGATCCAGGACATAAAAACCAGCAATATACAGAGTTGAGACCTCATGATGACTGTGTAGTGCAGAGGGTGACAAATGGCCACGAAGCGGTCATAAGCCATCACAACCAGAAGAAAGTTTTCCAATCCTACAAACAATGTAAAAAAAAAAGTTTGAGTAATGCAGCCTTCATAAGTTATAGCCTTGCACTTTTTCTGGATATTTGCCAGCATCTTTGGCATAGTGGTTGATGTAAAACAGATATCCACAAATGATAGGTTGGAGAGGAAGAAGTACATGGGTGTTTTCAGGTGGGAGTCTGAAGATGTGGCCAGGATGATGAGCAAGTTCCCAAGAAAAGTGATCAGGTACATGGAGAGGAAAAGTCCGAATATCAGGGTCTGAAGTTCTAGATTCTCTGAAAATCCCAGAAGAAAAACTGAAACTCTTGTGTTATTTTTTGATTCCATATGCTATAAAGAGAAAATTAACATCACTAAATTTTGTATCTGATCTTCTTATCGTCATCCCTGTGCCATCTAGGATAATTAGGAATTTATTTTTTTCGCTCTACTTTATACTCAACATAATATGTACTCTGTGGCTTTATTTAACATTTATTTCGGGCTGGTGAGATGGCTCAGTGGTCTAAAGCACCTACTTAGAACAAGCTTAGCAAAGCACAGGGACCGCGGTTCAATCCCCCAGCACCACATGCCAGCCAGCCTCGCCCCCTGGTGGGCTGAGCTGGCCACACACACACACACACACACACACACACACACACACACACACATAAATAAAATAAAAAAAAGTTACAATAAAAGGCAAAGTTGGGCAGAGTGGTGCACACCTGTAACCCAGCACGCAGGGAGACTAAGGCAGGAGGATCACTAGTTCAAGCCCAGCCGAGGCAACTTATCAACCTAGAAAAGCCTTATCTCAAAATAAAAATTAAAAAAAACCCATTCATTTCATGATCATGAGTGATGGAAATCATGTTTTAAACACATATTGCCTAAATGTAAAAGTTCATACAATCAATCATTGAGAAAGAATAAGACTAAATAACAATAGCTTTGTGAGTAAGCACTTGCCTGGTATGTGTGGGGTCCTAGTTTTATTTTTATTTTAATGCATTTTAGTACAGGGTCTACAGTCTCACTATACAGATCAGGCTCAGAGTGATCCTCCTGTTTTCAGCCTCCCAAGCACTGTGGCACACTGGGGATCAAACTCTGGCCCCTTCACCTGCCTAAACAGGCACTTTAGTCCCATGAGCTATCTGACCACCCATGGGGTTTAAGTTTTAATCCTTAGATTTTCAGTGAAATAAGTACAATAAAAGGCACTGAAAAAAGACTTTGGGTATATCCATTACTTAGAACTGATATTTTAATATTTGAGGGAAGAGTTAGGTCTCACCTGTTTTTTTTTTAACACTGATAACACCATACAGTATACATATGTTTATAAATATTACACAAAATTCCATAAATGTGTACAATTCCAGGTGCCTAAAATTTTTAAAATTTTATGTCATATCTTAAATTAGTAATTCATCTGAAGAAAATAGGGGCATATAACATAGAGAATTGATAGAGTTTGTATCTTTTGGGAGGCTCCAGAAATTGCATTGTACAAGATATATTTCAACAGAGACTTCAAGAAAGTGGGCTGAGGGCTGGAGAGATGGCTCAGTGGTCTAAAGCACCTACTTGGAACAAGCTTGGCAAAGCACAGGGACCGCGGTTCGATCCTCCAGCACCACATGCCAGCCAGCCGCGCCCCCTGGTGGGCTGAGCTGGCCACACACACACACACACACACACACACACACACACACTAAATGTTAAAAAAAAATTAAAAAAAAAAAAAGAAAGTGGGCTGAACTGAGCTCTGAGCAAATCCACAGATTTATGTAGTTGGTGGGATGAATACACAGTGCAAATAATCTGACCAAATCATTTCCTTTATTTATAAAAATTCTAAGGACATGTATGTGGCTACCAGGATAGCAAGAAGGAGATGAGAGTAATCATGTCTGAGAATGCTGAGAAAGGTGGTTGGATGCTGAAGCTGCTAAAAGGTTAAAATTTTGAAAATTCAACAGGTCTTTGTTTCCATGTTGTCTCTTTTATATGTGTTTTATCCAGCTTTATTGGAGTATAATTCCATAATGTAAAGCTAGGTGAATGTCTTGTGTACAGTTGGAGAATCAAGATACACAGTATTACAGATACAGCCATCACCTCCCAGAGTGTCCCTCTGTGTCTTTGCCTTTTTTAAAAGAATAAAAAATAGTTATAGAAAAAAACAGCATTACAAATGATACAAAATTTCACTAAAGAAAGTAATATGAATTCAACAATGGCTGGTGTATTGCATGGTGTTATCTTCAAGTTAGTTGTTCAGATTACTAGGTGCAAATGTGCAAGATTGGCTTAAAGGAAAAAAAAATAACAAAATAGTTGTAAGAAATTCAAAAGAAAAAAGATAAGAATAATAAAAACAGGGGCTGGGGAGATGGCTCAGTAGAATAAGGGCTTGCCTGGCAATCACAAGGACCTGAGATCAATCCCCGGTTCCACAAAAAAAAAAAAAAAAAAAAACAACAAAAAAAAGCATTAACTGCTCCTTTCAAAAGACCAGCAGAAATTGACAACACAACTATCCAAACCATTCTACATATATACGTAAATATATCTTTTTCCCTTATTTTATTTGTCATTTTCCTCATCCCACCATTTCCTTCCTTTCAAATAAATCCTTTTTCTTTCACAGTATCTATTGTACCTTTCAGAATTTAATTACTCTTTCAGGTTCTCACTCTAGAGAGATAATACGATGTTTACACAGGTGGATCTGATTTGTTTCTCTTACCTATGTACTCTCTGGTTGCATCCTACCAAAAAAGATAAATTCAAAGCTTTCATAGATAAATGAGTGTCTTTTTATTGTAAAAGCTTTTAGCACCATATTTGTCCATATTGGAATCCTTGTCACATGCAATATATTATTATTACTAGGCAGTATGTTCTACAGCATTTGTACAAATATGATTATTTCAAATAACTGTAACAGTTAAAAATCATTTAAAAACCAATGCATATATTCCCCTAGTTTACTTCCCTGATAGAGCCATTCTGTTCTACACATCTATGAGTTTGAGCATTTTAAATATATAAGTAGGACCATGCAGTATTTTGATTCAAAGGTGTGCCTGGATCAAGGGACATTCTTCCTTATTTCATTTACTCATTAGAGTTAAAGCAGACATACTATGAGAAATATCCAGAATCTGCAAGGAAATAATCTTGATAAACATAATTATAAAGTTTCTCAAAAAATGCTAGAAAATTGAATTCAATAGAACAGCTGAAAGATTATTCCCAATTGGGAATATATGTTCTCAATTTCCCCTGCTTGCTGGTATGTTCATTCTGTGAGACATTACGACACCCAGCAAATGTTAAGAATAAAATTTTCAAAATTATTTATTTATTTGGTACAGGGTCTCGCTATGTGGCTTGGGCTTGTAGTGATCCTCCTATTTCAGCTTCCCCAGCTCTGGGATTATAGGCATGTGCCACTACACTGAGTTTTGGTGGCTGACTCAGAGTGGTGCCTGCATGTGGGTCAAAACCAGGTGCTTGAGCTAGCCAGGCAGATGCATAGAGTGCTGAGCTATCTCCCCACATGGGTCAAGAATTTTTATAATCTTCCTTTACAGGATTTATCCCTGTGGACACTAACGTAAGTACATTTATTTCTGTTTACTACTTTTGCTATTAAATTGTAAATTCAAGCTGAATAAATATCTTACCTATTTGTACAATTTAGTTTTTTCACAAAATGACATTTTAGAAAATAAAAAGTTGAAGAAATAAATGGCTTGAATAAATATTAATAATTACATAAATAAATGAATTCAGAACAAATGGATTAAATGAAAATCTTAAATAACTTCTGAATAATAAATCTAAGATAACAGTAAAATAACTATGTCAATACCAGAATGTAATTCGAGGCCTATTTAATAAGAAACTAGGGATAGACCCAGAGCGCAGGCCCGGCGAGTGAGTGAGGTGACCCAGGCCGCAGGATCCTGAACAGATCCAGAGCGCAGGCCCAGAGAGTGA